AAGTTGATTCCAATGCTCATTAATGACTTCAAGGGATTTAAGACTTCCGTGGAGGAATAACGGCAGATGTGGTAGAAATAACAAAAGAAGCAGAATTAGAGGTGGAGCCTGAAGATGTGACTGAATTGCTGCAATCTCACGATAAAACTTGAATGGATGAGGACTTGCTTCTTATGGATGAGCAAAAAAAGTGGGTTTTTTGAGATGGAATGTACTCCTGGTACAGGTGATATGAAGATTGTTGAAATGACAGCAGGGAATTTAGAATCTTATATAAACGTAGTTGATAAAGCAGCTGTAGGGTTTGAGAGGATTGACTCCATTTTTTTTTTCTTTTTTTTTTTTTTTGCGGTACGCGGGCCTCTCACTGTTGTGGCCTCTCCCGTTGCGGAGCACAGGCTTCGGACGCGCAGGCTCAGCGGCCATGGCTCACGGGCCCAGCCGCTCCGCGGCATGTGGGATCTTCCCGGACCGGGGCACGAACCCGTGTCCCCTGCATCGGCAGGCGGACTCTCAACCACTGCGCCACCAGGGAAGCCCGGGACACAGAGTTTTTGAGGGCACAGGCCCACTATGTCCCCCTTTGCCTGGCAAAGCAATAAAGCTATTCTTTTTTACTTCACCCAAAATGCTGTCTCGGAGACTCGATTTGGCACCAGTGCACAGAGGCTGAGTTTTTGGCATCAAGAGGAGGTCCAGGAAATCACCAAGAATAAAGATGGGTTCGGTGAGGGAGTGACAGAAAACAGGGAAGGAGTGTGAGCGAATTCAGGGGCCAGGGTCTCTCTCCCGTTCAGGCCTTGACATGAGGAAACCCCTTTGCCTGCAACCTCCTCCCAATCCTTTATTCTGGAAAACTCCTGTTCATGCCTTAGGAACAGGTTAGAGGTCACCTCCAGAACCCTTCCCCTGATCCCCTGGCTGTGGTTGGGGTCTTCCTCTGCTCCCAGAGCCCCTGTGCTCATCTGGTTACCCAAAAACTGGCTTTGCCTCTTGGTGGGTGTTGAACAAGCCGAAGATCAAGAGAAGGATTTATGGGCTTTCCTGGTGGCGCAGTGCTTGAGAATCTGCCTGCCAATGCAGAGGACACGGGTTCGAGCCCTGGTCTGGGAAGATCCCACATGCCACGGAGCAACTAGGCCCGTGAGCCACAACTACTGAGCCTGCGCGTCTGGAGCCTGTGCTCTGCAACAAGAGAGGGCATGACAGTGAGAGGCCCGCGCACCACGATGAAGAGTGGCCCCCGTTCGCCGCAACTAGAGAAAGCCCTCGCACAGAAACAAAGACCCAACACAGCCAATAAATAAATAAATAAATTTATTAAAAAAAAAAAAAAGAGAAGGATTTATGATTACTTGCAGTAAGTCAGGAGCGCAGCGGGGGTCTCTCCCAAAGCAATGTCTTCCTGAACAGCAAAATTGGGGAAGTTTTAAGCTAAGTGTACATGCATATACATGAAGGGGCTTGGGCAGCAGGCAGAGTCCAAGCTTTAGTTGACTGAAGTCACGAGGGTCAGAGAAGGTCAACATCCTCATCCTTCAGGCCCTAGTTGATCTGGTGGTTGATTCCATCAGGCTAATCTTCACCATTGATACAGAACTGGGAGTCTTTACAACTGATGCATTATCTTTGCTATTGTCACTTCTCTTGCCCAACTATTGTTTGTTTTTCATTCCTTTGCTCAAGATCATTGATTACTGAGACCTGTTCAAGGGCAAGCATTGTGGCCAGGTTTAGGTCACAAAACAGCTTAAGCCAAAAATGGCTTCTCTTCTGTCAAGAAAGCCATCCTGGACTTCCCTGGTGGCACAGTGGTTAAGAATCCGCCTGCCAATGCAGGGTACACAGGTTTGAGCCCTGGTCCAGGAAGATCCCACATGCCACAGAGCAACTAAGCCCGTGCACCACAACTACTGAGGCTGTGCTCTAGATCCTGCGTGCCACAACTACTGAGCCCGTGTGCCACAACTACTGAAGCCCGCGCGCCTAGAGCCCGTGCTCCTCAACAAAGTGAAGCCACCGCAATGAGAAGCCCGTACACCGCAATGAGTAGCCCCCGCTCGCCACAACTAGAGAAAGCCCACATGCAGCAACAAAGACCCAACGCAGCCAAAAATTCATTTATTCATTCATTCATTTTTTAAAAAAGAAAGCCATCCCTGGTTCTCTTTCTCCAAGTACCCCCTAACTTACCTGCCTACAGTCTGAGCACGCAGTGATGGGCCTCATAGGTGTCTCCGAGATTGGGGCCTCCTGGAGGCCAGAGTCGTTTCCCTGAGTGAGGAGGGCCAGCACGTGAACAAGCAGAGCTGCAGAGACCACTGCAACCCTCAGAGAGGGCCCAGGAGACCAAGGTGATGGACAGGGCATGTGATGAGGGCATATTTGGAGGCCAGCTGGGTGGCTCTGGACAAAGGGCTGCCTTGCCACTGTTCACAGGCCCGAGGGCACAGCCGGGCTCTCAGCTGTAATGCAGGTGCGTCTGTGGTCCCGCCACAGCCTGGACTTGTCAGACTCCAGTGGCCATGACCCATTCTCCCCCTCACACTGGTGTCAGGCACTAGGACCATGGACATCCCCCAGCTCAGACCCAAAGACAGAGCCAGCAGTCAATGTGTAAAACAAACGAAAGGTTTATTTATAAGCAGGAATGTTGTCTGGGATACATACAGTGCAAACTCTCGTCTTGGGATCAACACAAGCCCACAAGCTGGAAAACTGTTACCAAATTAGGTCGAATGGACCCCCCACTTAGGCCCTAGCCTGGCTGAGGCCCCCTGCCTTGGCAGAGAAGGTTCTCTTTCCATTTGGGTTCACACAGCCAAAAAACAAAACCGAAGCTGAGATTAGAAGCGGCGTGAGATTTATTCAATGGCCAGGGAATGGAGAAGCAGGAACTTAGTTCATAAATGCACTTCTCGCCTTAATGGTGAGAGGGATTTACTTTTAAGGAGTAAGGATAATGGGGGTTAGAGTGAGACGAATGATGGGGAGGCAAATGTATTACTTTTCTGGGAAGGAGGCAGGGTTTCCCTAGAAATGGGGTGCCATCCCTTTTCTGTCCTTTTTTGGTCAGTGACTTCCGGTCACAGCCATTGTAGGTGTGTCATTTAGTAGCTAATGTAGTAAAATCAGTGTAGAATGAGACTCAGGGTCTACTAGAGGTCAGATTCATGCCATCTTGGTTTCAGCGGGTCCTATCCAGTTTTTGTTTCCCTCTTCCTATAGCTTCTTTCTTTGTGTCCAGAGCCTGCGACTTAAAGGTGTATGTTAGTTCCTGTTCAAGGGAGGGGTTAGTGGGTTTTGACCAAGGGTGTGGTGGCAATTCTGGTAACAAAATGAGGCCACACCCAGAAAGAGTCTCCTTCCAATTCATCCCTGTTCTGCTGGGGTGATCACAATGAGGCCTGAGGTCCTCCCAGGACAGTCCACCAGGGGGCAGAAGTGCTCCACGGCCATAAAGGGTCCAATGTGGTTGGAGACCCTGGCCAGTCCAAGCAGAGGGACGTCTTAATTCCAGAGTGGGAAGCCTTTCTTCACTCCATGGTAGTGGCTGGGCTTCTCCTACCCTCCAAAAGTTCAGCTCCCAAGTTCAAGTCCAGTGGAATTTTTCAACAAGGGATCCAAATATCAGGGACCCAACAGTCTTCTCAAGGAGGCCCCCATCCCCCTTCCTTCCAGAATCCGGTTAAGGCCACACTTGTCCACTGTCTACAGGGCCTGGGCATGCGTTTGGGGGGAGTGGGCTGACTCCTTAATGGGGAAGAATCCCTCGGCAAAAGTGTTAGCTTCGGCTGCTTCTAGCAGGCCATTTGATCTGACAACATGGGCTACACGGAACCACAACACACAACGCAGACACGCAGACACAGGACTGGCTCTCAGCATCTCACGACCACTCAGTATCTCAGTGGGCACGGTACCAAAGTGGCTCTGAGGCTCCATGGGGACCTGGGACTCCAAGAACAGTGGGAGGGGGTCGGGAGAAACAGGAGCACCCCCTTGGGAGGCAAAGGAGGAAGGTCCAGGCTGAGGTAGGAGGAGATGGCTGCAGGGCCTCAGTCATCTCCAGTTCCTGAAATTCCCTGATAGGAAAAGGTGTGGCCTTGGAGCTCCACACCAGACAGTGGGGGAGGGGAAGCTCAAACTGGGGGTAAATGGGAGCGAAGGTCCAAGGCAGAGGATACAAACTCTGAGTTTGGCTTTGTTACACTGTTGGCTTGTTTATCCGCATGGTAGCTAATGGTTTTTTGTTTTTTGTTGTTTTTTTTTTTTTTTTTTTAAATTGCCACATGTTAAAACTGGAAGATTTCGGGTTAGAGGTTTGCCGTCTTAACCAGGTCACAGCCCTCATTCAGGCTGCCTGCCTGGGCATCTGGTGTTCACCCCATGGTACGAGATGGAGCTAGCAGGAGTGGATTTGGAGGTGGTGCTTCCGAAAGTCCTGAGCTAACCTGGGGGACTCCTGTCCCCTACAGGGGTTGCCACCCGCTCCCTGCACAGAACCATCTGATTGATGACACCCACCCCTACTACCCCCACTGGGACCATCCTGCAGTCTCACATTCAGGCTAAAGCCTTGCTCTTTCCTCACTGCCCCTTCTCCAAGGATGATGCATGCAGCATCCCTCCTCCCCAGCAGGAAGCCAGAGCCGGGTAGAGACCAGGGATTAAAAGAAAAATAAAAACCAAAAATGACAAGGGCTCCAGCAACCAAGCACGCAGGACCGGCTGGAGGGGGCAGCTCTCAGAGAGGCAGGGGATTTGTTCCAGGCTGCCCAGCGCATCCGTCTCCACCAGCCTTCCAAGAGAGACACACACCATGACAGGTCACCATGACTCTCCCTGCCTCGTTCTGCCTGCAGGTGAGAGGAAGGCTGAGGCCGTGGAAGCTGCTAAAGGAGTTTGGCCCAGAAAGACTCAGAGTCCTGCGGGGGAGGGGCCTAGAAGGACCAGGGGTTGGTCCCACCTTGGCTGTGACACAGCCCACGCCAGACTGGTTAGCTGGGCTTCATCCCGGCATCAGGTACACCGAGGGGCAGGGGCTTCTCCTCTGGGCTCTGCAGCAGAGTCTCTGGAGCCCCCGGCTGGGACTGGAAAGGGCATTCCTCCTTGGAGAAGGGGACCTGCTCATCTTTCGGGGAGCCAGAGGGGCTGGTGTCTGTGTCCCTCGTGGAGCTGGCCTGGGAGGGGCATCGAGAGCTGTGGTCAGAGCCGCTGCAAACGTTGACAATGCAGGTGACATTGACCTGGGTCCCGTGGCCACCAGACGATGCCTCTGCTAAACACAAGACAGGAGAAAGTGGTCAGCTGGGGCCTTGGAGTGGGGGGTGTCTTCACAGCCTGCCTCCTGCCCGAGAGGCAGATTAAGACATGCGGGGAAAGAGCACTGTGCCAGGAGTCAAAAGGCCCCTGTTCTAGCTCAGCTTTGCTGTGTCATCTTGGGCAAGTCCCGTAAACCTTTGTGTGCCTCAGTTTCTTCACGTGTCAAATAAGAATACCCCGCCCAAGTCACCCCACAGATGGGAGGAGCCAACTATATAAAGCAAGTGAAGGTGCTCCAAGAACAAAACACACTCCCCACAAAGAACCGGGGGAGTGAGCCAGGGCAGGAAGGATGCATTACAGAGTCTTGAGGAAGCAGTAAAGACGAATTACTTTCCCGAAACTGCAGCAAAGGCATCAGCAGCCCTGGCCACACCCGCTATGAAAAGGCGAGACCCCTGCCACTGGCCCGTCATCTCTATGCCAAGGAACCAACACCAAAGGGCTTGGAAATTGCTCCTTTACGGAAATGAAACATTGACCCTGAACTTGTCTTCATTCACAGCAAATCTCTTCCTTCCACATAGAGCTGCCTCTAAGATTTCATAAATCTGGGATTCCAGGATGGGGTGTGGTGGGGACGTAGTTTGTCCTCATCACTGAGGCCGGGATGCCCGGAGCTCCGCAGCCTGACCATCCTGGGTCTGGATCCCTGCTCTGACTCCATAAACTTGGCCAAGTCACTCTTGGAGCTTCCATTTGCTCAGCTGTGAAATGGGTCTAATGACCCTTTCCATCCCCTCGAGGCAAGGATGACTCTGCCCTGTTCACTGCCGTATCTCCGGAGCCTGCATGGCTCCTAGAGACGGGGTGACAGGCTCAGTGAAGCAGGGGTTCACGCTGGGCCCATGTATCCAAACACGTCTTCTGTACCTCAGCTTGATTCCACCCCCATATCCCGTCCAACCTGCTTCTCCCCATCTCAGTTCACACGCCTGCCATCCACCCAGATGCTCAGTCCCAAAGCCTCGGACCGATCTTTCTCTCACACCCCACACCCAAGGCACCAGCAATTCCTACCTGGTCCACCTTCAAGTTCACCACCTCCTGCATACCGCCTGTACCTCCGTCCACTCCCCGGACTAGTGCAGTCTCCTCCTGTCTCCTGGCTTCTGGCTTCTACCTGGCCCCTCTGCGGCCTGTTCCCCACCAGCAGCCAGAGCCAGATCATTTTCTTGGCTGCTCCAAACACAGTTCTCACCACGGCCTATGAGGCCCTGCACGACCTGGTGCCTGCCTTCTCCCCACCACATCTCCTGCTGCTCTGAGATCCTGGCTGGGTTCCCTCCAGCCATACTCACCTCCCTGCAGCTCCTTGAGCCCTCCAAGCCTCAGGGCTTTTGCAACGTGCTGCTCCCTCAGCCTGGAACATTCTTCCCTATTCCCATAGCTCTCTCCTTCCTTTACTTGGGCCTCAGCCTGGAGGCGACCTCCTCCAAGAAGCCTCCGTGGCTTCCCTCTCTAAAGGAGGTTCACTCCCGCCCATCCATCACTCCCTCTGCTATAATCTCCAGAGCCCCTAGCTCCGCCCACTGTGCAATCCATTTCTGGAGTCCTCATTGGGTTCTCCCAGACCAGGCCCTGAGTCCAGAAGGGTGGGGCCTTTCTGACTGTTCCCTGCTGTGGCCCTAGTGCCTATAACAGGGACACATGTGAATGAATAAAATCCAGCCCACAGGTGTGTTCTGTTCTTGGTGGTGGTAGTGTTTTTAAGTGAAATGGCTGCCAACATTTAAAATTCAGGAGTTTACATTTTAACAATCTGGATTTAGAGCTTCCCTTGGGAGCCAGATGGGGGAGAGCGGGCTATGCAGGACCCACAGACCTGAAAGTGACTGGCAGCAAGGGCTTCAGGGCACAGGTTCGGCCCCGCCTCCCCTCCCAGCCCTGTGGGCATCTGAGTTTCCTAACTAGTGAGGGACTAAATGGTGGATAAGCTGAGGAGATCAATGTAAGGGCCGGACACAGAATAGCCCCTCAAAAAGGATGGTTGCTGCTGCTATTACTATGGCGACCTGAGTGTCCAGGGGTTGCCGGGAGGACTGGCTGTTTGTTTTCCAGTCTACTTTGTTTCCGGGAGGAGGATGGAGCGGGCGAGCTGCTCTGCTCAGAACAGCCCCAAACAAGGGGGGTGGAGGTGGGGTGCTGAAATCATGGGGCCGGAAGGAACTTTCCACCCTGGGCCTCCACAGCACCCAAATGTCACCCAGAGTCACCAAGGCTGTGCACACTGTGAACGAGACATTGCGGGGGCAGACGGGAGACCAGGAGGGGTCACAGACCTGAGGTTTACCCATTCGCACAGCGGGGAGAGGTGCTCGGGTAGGACGGAGAGGAGGGGAGAGCAGAGGCCAGAGAGGCGCAGAAGGAACAGAAAAGAGACAGCGGGCGGCGCGTGGGGGGCAGACACGGTCAGGGCTCCCCAAGGAGGAAGCCACACCAGGATGCGTGTGTAAGAGGTGTCGCAAAGAAAGCGGAAAGATGAATCTGAGAGGGAGAAGACCCAGAGCTTTATATTCTGATCTCATTTATTCATTCGACAAACATTTAGGGCCACCTGCTATGCTCCAGGCACTGACCCAGTCCCTTCCTTGGGGAGCTCTCAGGCTGGGGTGAGGGCACTGACAAGACATCACACTGATGAGGGTGGGTGATGATGGGAAGCTAGAAGTGGGACGCCGCAGCCCACTGCCTGAGTCAGGAGGCAGGTAGTGAATGCTGTCGCAGCCCTGCCAAGGAGCTGCCATGCTCATCTCTAGGACAGGAGGCTGAGGCTTGGCAGGGTTAAGGAGCCTGTTCAGAGTCTCACGGCACCAGAGCGGCCGGGAGGGCGTCTGGGAATGAACCAAGGTCACGGTCATCCCTTGACCCACCAGCCAGCGCTGCCAGGTGAGAGGGGGAAATGCAAGCCAGCGGGCTTGGCCTCTCACTACAAAACATGCCCGAGGAAGCCCCAGGCTTTCTGGGGGACCCCCGCAGGGGCCTCCTCCAATGTGGGCACTGCAGATGTCCACCAGGGGTGACACTGGTCACAGACCAGGTCCAGGGCTAAATGCAGACTGTGTAAACAGGGCACGGGCTTCTCCAGACCCCACGTGGGATCCGCAGTCCTGATGCCTCAGGCCCAAAGGGACCGGACTACAGGCACAGTGAGTGGAGTCCCAGGGACATCGTTTACTCATTCAGCTTTCCAGGCTGACTCTGGACCCGGAGAGCCCAGGGGTGATTCCTGGCCCTTCTGTTTACCAGCTGTGCCCTTGAATAAGCAGTTTAACCTTTCTGAGACTCAGTTTCCTCATCTGATAAGATGAGGAAATATAATAGGTATTAATATTGTAAAAATAATATAATATATAATTATAATAAATTATAATATATACTCTAACAATATATTAATAATAAAATATTATCTAATACAATATATAACAATATAATATATAACATACATAATATACAATAAATATATAATTATGACATATTACAATATTAACATATAGTATGTTATATGCTATATATATTATATATAACACTAACGTATAAGTTAACATATTAATATAACATTTATATACATAAAATATTAATATATAATATATTAAATGCTACATATATCATATATAGCATCAATATCAATGTATTATTCATATATTGATATATAATATTTACATAATATAACATTGTTATATGCTATTTCACATATTATATATTATATGTATTATAATATATAGGAAAACTCCCTGCCTGGATACTGGGGACGCAGAGGATAAGCTGAGATGGTCTAGAAGGAAGGGTGTTCCTGGTGCGAGAACCCACAGGGCAAAGGTGGGAGGGATGTGGGGGTTCCGAGAACAGAAAGAAGCTTGTGGCTCAGTTTCACCTGAGGGGGCAGAGGGAAGGAGGCTGGAGGGGGACCCAGGCTGGTGGTGCAGGGCTTCCAGTGTCCTGCTAGGAGCTCAGGCCTCATCCTGCAGGGGAGGCCCAGGAAAAGACAGCTCAGCCAGAAATGAGGAAGAAACACACTGGGGAGGGGGGCGGGGGAGGAAGCCAGGGGGGCTCCCGCCTCTTACCTGAGCTGCCGCAGCTGGCCGGGGCCTTCCCCACTCCCGGCGCCTGCAGCTGGGGCCTGGTGGGCGCCCTCCTGTCTGCAGCGCTGGCCGAGCTCTCCAGGGAACTGCTGCTGGAGCTTGGCGCCGTGGTCAGCAGATGCTGCTGCTCGGGGCCTGGGGCACTTCGGGCCTTGTCAGCTGGCAGATGCGGCTGGATGGGGAGATGAGGGGGGAGGGAGGGCGGTCAGCCCATCAGCCGGCTCCTCGCCCCCTCTTCCCTCTCACCACCATCAGCACTTCACAGTTTACACAGCACTTCTGCACATTCTCTCCACACACAGCACTTTTAGGACATGTGATTCTCTGTGGCTTCTGTGATTAGCATCGCTGCCCTGCTGGAGTGTGAGCCCTAAGAGGGCAGGGGCCATGTGGCCCTGTTCACCAAACAGTCTTAGAGGTGAGGCAGGATTTTCGCCCTCATTTTGCATAAGGAAGCAGAGGCCCAGAGAAGGAGAGTGGCTTTCCTGAGGTCACCCCATCAGCACGGGGTGATGCGGCTCAGCCTAGCAGCCAAGGGCATGGACTCTGGAACCAGACCACATGCGTGCAAATCATGACTCCATTACTCACTAGCTCTGCAACCTTGGACAAGTTACTTAACCTCTCTGTGCCTCTCTTTTTCCATCTATAAAGGAAAGAATAGCAACCTACTTCCTAGGGTTATTGTGAAGATTAAATGGCTGAGTTTTTGTAAAGCGCTCAGAACAGTGCCTGTTCTATCGTAAGTGCTGGTCAAGGGTTTGTTAAATCAGGGCTCAGCAAACTACTGCCACGGACCAAGTCCAGCCTGCCACTGTTTCCGTACAGGCTGCGAGCTAAGGATAATTTTCACATTTTTAAATGGTTGAAAACATATTTAAAGACTAATATCTTGTGACATGAAGTTATGTGAAGTTCAAATGTCAGTGTCCATAAATACAGTTTTATGGGCACACAGCCACGCCCATTTGTTTTTGTTGTGTCTGCGGCTGCTTTCCCACTGCAATGGCAGGATTGAGGAGATATGACAGAAACCAGATGATCCAAAAAGCCTACAATATTGACTGGACCTTTACAGAAAACGTCTGCTCGCCCTTGTGTTCAATCAGTGAATCCAGTGTAGACAGTCCTCTCATTTAGGACCCTCAGCCCTGCCGTCTCGGCAACACTTTCCAGATTCCATTCCCCAAGCTGCTCTGTGACTCTCGATCTTTTTCTCATAAAACACAAATGCCAGCAACAGTAATAATAAAATATTAGCTGACGCTTGAATCCATCCGATGCCAAGCACTGTGCTGAAGCCTCTCCAGACACCATCTACACTGATCCTTCCAACAGCCAAGTGTTAGCCTCGCTTTGCAGATTCAGAAACCAAGATCCAGAGAGGTTGAGTTACTTGTCCAAGGTCACAGAGTTAGGACGTGGTGCATCTGGGCTAAAACCTACACAACTTTCCTGGGTGTTTGGGGTTTCAGCCCCAGAGGCTCAAGACAAGGTGCCCCATTTCCAGACACCCGTGCTGGGAACCCCTGGAAATTTCACTCCAAGGCGGCTGCCTGTCCGCACCAACTGAACAGGTGCACAAGCCCTTGCCTTGGGGTTCTGGGCGATCACTGGATTCCAGAAAGAAGACAGAGGGGCCACATTCTCACCCACTGCCCTGGCCTGCCCAGGATGAGAGGGTCCAGGGTAGAATGAGAACTGAGGCGAGTAAGTGCTGGAGGGATGCAGTCTAGCAGGGTCAGGGAGGTGAGGTCAGAGGTGGAGGACACAGGAAGGACACAGCTGCCAGTCCCCGCAGCCCCCAGCCCTGCCTGAGCCCTGCATATCCTGAGGTCAGCTCACAGACTCTCACTCCAGGCCAGAAGGATCCTTTGCAAGCAGTCCCCGTGAGGCCACGGAGGCCCAGAGAGGGTGATTCCCCTGCTCAGTATCACACGGCGGGGCCGTGGCTCAGTGTACACTCGCTCAGTGTACCAGAGCTGCGTGCTTCCCACTCAGTCCCGCCTCCTTGGTTCACCACCCCCGGCTTTGGAGGAATGGAGGGCATTTCAAGTTCATGCTGAACCTTGGCTCAGATGGTCTGACCTTGGTATTTGACCCCACCCCCAGCCCTGCTCGGAGCCTGGACAGGCAGGGGAGAGGGAGGGGGAGGGGGCACATCCAAATGTCATTCTTCACAACCCCCAGAGAAGGGGCTTTTCAGCCTGCGTCCCACTTTTCTGCTGGTGGCTAGGGCCAGGCAGAACAGAAACCCCCAAAGGTCACAGCTTGCCTCCCTCCCCCAAAAGCCACGAGTCGCAAAGTTCAGGCAGGCTCTGAGTGGGGCACATGTATTGAGTCCTGTTCCCTGGGCTGGGACCCCAGGAAGGGGAAGACCTGAGGGGGCTCACTGAACCAACAGGATCCCAGCTGGCCCTCCTCACCTCCCAGCCTGGCCCCGCCATGGGCAGAAGCAGAGACCCTGGTAAAGCCGCTGCCTGAGCCCGTGTCTGTCTGCATATGTAAGCGTGTGTTCCTGAGATTCATACAACTGTATGTATAGGTGTTAGGGTGTCTGAAGTGTGCACACACGTGTGTCTCTGTGTGAGGGAGCACGTGTGCATGTCTGTGAGTGGTGCAATTAGCTTGTGTGCTGGAGGTGGTGAAGAGAGGCACTCCTAAGTCTGTGTCTCAGGCCACCCATTTGCTGTGTGACCTTGGGAAAGGTACTTAACGTCTCGGAGCCCAAGATCCCTGGGCTGTAAAACTGGGGCAATAATCATACTGCCTGTGTCACAGCATGGCTGTGAGACTGAACAACGCTCAGTACTGTGCCTGGTCCACATTCAGCACCACATGAACATTCTCCCTCTTTATGAAACGAGAGCCTGTGTGAGTGTGTCTGTGGCGGTGATTGTGGGTGAGCTCACACGTGTGGTTACGCTGGCCTTTTCTGAACAAAGGGAAGCCACCGTCCTGCCATGCCTTGGCGTTACAAGGAGGAACGGGGAAGTGCTGAGTCACCATGCTTTCAACCCCAGTGGCCTGGGCCAGGAGCATTATACTAGGCCGCCGTTAGCAGGACCACTGCCAGCCGGCTGAGGAACGGAGTGGGGCGCAGGCTGAGCATGGCGGTGAGGGCAGGGCTGGGAGCCCGGGGATGGAAGGGCACCTGGGAAGGGGACCAACCTCTACGGGCAGTCCCTGCTGGGGATGGGGGGTGCCTGGAACAATTCTGAATATCTGCCCTGGGTGAACAGGACGGTGGGTAAAGACAAGTCCTGCAGATTCAGACTGAGTTTCAAAGCTGGGCTCTGCCACTCGCCAAGTGGCCTAACCTTACACAGGTACCTGAACCTCCCTGAGTCTCAGTTTCTTCATCTGTGAAATCGGGATGATGACACTGTGTACCTCACAGGGGGCATGTGAGGATGCAGGTCCTGGCCCGGGGCTCAGCCAGTGGGGCGCTGGAACCAGCTCAGACTTGTGCGTGTTTCTTCCCAGCTCCACATTCAGTAAGTAGCTTGAAATTGGCCATGGTGGGAGCGTTTATAACACAGAAATGAGCGAACTCCACGAATCAGGGTTTTGGGGTTGTTTTTTTTTTCCCACCTGGAGGGCCAGTTACCAGCACATCCCTGGGCTCTACATGCAACAGCACTCAACAAACAGCAGTGGAGTCGCTCACATTCAGTGAACACAAAACTCAGTGAAGGAAAAGGGGAAGCGGGGGCTCCAGGCCACACCTGAGACAGCTTTACTGCACCCAGTATTGGGAAACACTTGGTCAGCAAAGAGAAAGTGGCAGCTGGGTGCCGGGGTGGAGCTTAGAGAGCGCACTTGCTCTATGGACCACCAGGCAGCGACTGTCAGTGTCACTGAACTGAAGCCAGAAAAAGGAAGGAGTGGCATTCACACACCGGGGAAATGGGAAATAGTTTGAACTCCCAAACCAGTGTTTCTGTCTGCTGAAATACCGTAGGGCAGTTCAAAGAGCACTGGGCCAGGAGTCCAGAGACATATTGCTGTGTAACCTTGGGCAAGTCATTTTCCCTCTCTGTACCTCTTTTCTGGTCAGGACAATCAGGAGATGAAATCAGTCTGGTCCCTACCAAGTCCAAAACCCTGTGCAAACCTCAGGCACTGGGTCACCAGGACTGAGCTTTACCCTAGCACAGTGGTTCCCAACCGGGGGTGATCCTGTCCTCCGGGGGCCCTTTGGCAACGTCTGGAGACATTTTGCTTCTCACTCCTGGGAGGCAGTGCTACTGGCATCTCGTGGGGAGAGGCCAGTGATATTGCTGAGTAGACTACAACGCACAGGACAGCCCCTCATGACAAAGAATTAGCAGGCAGGGTTGAGAAACCCTGCCCCAGCAGGATGGGGGACATGGAGGGAACTCCTTGGACTCTTGTTTCCTCATCTGTAAAACTGGATATAAAAACCTGCCCTGCCTACCTGGTGCAGAGTGGCAGCAGACACCATGTACTGGCTCACCCCACACCCATTTCCAAGCCCTCTCTGTGGTTCTCCTTTACCGTAAAGGCTAGGAAAGCAAAGCACCCCCTTTTGCAGCCTCCCTTGCAGCTAGGGGTGGTCACATGATACCATCCGGCCAATGAGACAAAAGGAGAAGTCGACCCAGGGCTTCTAGGAAAGTGTCTGATTTCCTGTCAAAGGCACCATGGCTGTCCTGGCCAGTTCCCCTCTTTTTCCTGCCTCAAATCTGGAGGTCACATACGCAGTGGTGATTATCATCTTACGACATCTTATGACACAGGCCACAAGCAAGAGAACAAAAGCCAACACACCAAAGATGGCAGAGCCTGGGGTCCTGCTGGCTTCACAGAAGGAGGCAACCAAACCGCTCCAGCAGCCATCAACCCCTCAACTTTGTGATGTGACAGAATACAAAGCCCTTTTAAGTCACCCTAATGGTTTTGGTTACTTGCAGCCAAATGCCCTCCTGATGGAGGACTGATGAAATACTATGTTGGTTTTCTGTTTCTAGCAAAAATCCTGCACAGACTCTACCTCATAAAAAGGATCAGAGGGTGAAGTTGGGGGAGGACCCAGGCCCAGACCCCTAGTCCTAACCTCAACCCCAGAGATGACCCCCCAGGCAGGACCCTCTGTGGAACACTTGAGTACCCCAGCACGCAGCTTGAGAACCACTGCTCCAGGAGGCAGTGCTTTGTAAACATGATGGAGAGGCTGAGAACTGTTGCCAGCTGGGTGAGAGGCACAGCCCTGCAAGCTGGCTGAGACACTGTCCCCATTTAACGGTGAGGAAACAGCCATGAGCAATTTCATGTCAGTCCAAGGTCACACCATGGGTCCATGACCACACGCTTGCCACTGACACCACTGACCCCTCTGCTCCCTGATATGGCCTTTCACACTCAAGTCACATTTACTAGTCCCGGCAACAGACCCTGGCTGGCCTTCTCTCAGCCTCCCAGGGCTCTGCACACTGCCTGACGCTGGACAGACCAACCTAGAGAATTCACTGCTTCCCACTGGACAACCCAGCCCAGCAGGAAAAAGACAAGGGAAGGAGGAGGGGGAAGGCAGAGGCGCACTCACCACCTTGGCATCTCCGTGCAGGCAGAAGGGCTTCTCTGCAAAGAGGAGAGAGGGGACAAGTCAGAGAGAGTGACTTCCTCAGGTCACATCTGTTCTAACTAGGAGGGATCACGGGGCCCAAGGAGAAGCAGTCAGAGTAGGCCCAGCCCTGGGGGGAGCAATTACCTATCAGACAAGGTACACAGAAGCCCCCATACCCAACTCTCCAGCCAGCCCTCAACACCCCCCCCAAACCATTCTTCAGCCTGCCCCCGCCTTTGCTCATACCATGCCCCCTGCTTTGCATGCCCTTTCTTTCCTGCACTCATGTCTCCATCAAAATCTTGCCCAGCTCAGATGCCACCTGCTCCGGAAGGCCTGAACCCCCAGGATTCCCAGACAAGAATCCTGGACTTCTACCCTCTTGGATAGCCCTAAGGGCATCTTGCCTTTTAGTAGGTAAGTTAGTGGAAGTGCCTTCCGCCCCAGGCTCTAAGCTCCTAAGAACAGGGACTGCCATACCCAGCTCTGTCTGACCCATAAGGCTGTGCCCAGTGCTGGACTCAGAGGGGTGCCCCAGAAAAGCTTCCTGAACGGATGTGTAAGTAGATGGATGAATGAAGGAAGGATGTAATCTTACTTTTTTTCTGGGTCATGATGACACAGTTCACCAGGACTATTATTAGCAGACCCAACGCTGTCACACCCACAATCAGTCCTAGAAGGAAAAGAGAAGTTCAAAACAGCTGCAAAAAGCAAACTCAAATGTACGAGGGACCAGGCAGGTCAGCTGACAACCAAAGATGACTGGGGTCATCGCAGGCGAGGGGCAAGCCCAGTGCAGAGGCTCTCAAATTTGATTACAAAACAAACCAGAATCCGTGCACCAAACGAAACATGTCTGTAGGCCACACTCAGCCCAAGGGCCACGAGTTTGAGCCCTCTGGCCTGATGTAGTCCTAACCCCAGAAGGGAAGCCCATGAGGTGACCTGGCCCAGCCCACTGTCAAAGCCTAATGGGTTCGTTGGAAATGGCAACCAGAAGACCATACCCACTTTAACATAAAACGCTGACCCTACCTCTCCCCACCCAGTAATTCCTAGTGGCATTAGTAAGTCTTGGAAGAAGGCAAGTCTCAACGCTACCTACATCCCAGGATGGCGTACAGGGTCTAGCCCATAACAAGCTCTTGGTAAGACTCTAAGACAGGAGGGAGGGAGGGAGGGAGGATGAATGGGCCCCCTTGTGACTTACCGATGGGAAGAGAGATGTTTGCTGTGTTGCGCCCTTCAACTGGGTAACTTGGAGGACCTGGGGCCTTCGGGAGCCGGACGGAGGTGCTTGGAGCTGTGCTGGACCCTGGAGTCGGCTCCATGCGTTGGGATCTTGTGAGGGCTGGGCCCGGGGTCACTTTCAGGGTGGGGAGCACAGATGTGCAGACTGCATCCATCTCTGAGGTGCCACGGATGGCCACCGAGCTACAGCTGGGGGAGGAGGGTGCTTCGTCAGGGACAACAGGGGATTGAATGGCTCAGGGTAGCTGGGCTCACTCGTGGGACCTAGGCCAGTGTGCAAGGGGCCCAGCAACTGGGTTAGGGGAGTGGGTTCATGTGCCATGCCCTCTTTCAAGACTTATGTCCCCTATGACCCCACCCAGTCTTGACTTCCAGAGCAAAACTCTTGTTCACCATGCTGTCTGTTCAGGGACCCACCCACTGTCAGATAAACCAGTCCTGGCATTGGACAGGGCTCGGCAATGCCTCAACCCGAGGGAGTAATTGGGGGGATTCTGGCCACCATGGCACGCTGTTCTGTGCTCTAGGCCTCATGATCACCCAGGGACAGCCCCTCCTGTTCCTTCAGAAGCAGAGGATTCAGCCACTCACATCCGGTGGGGCCTGCAAGAATCCGTGGATGATGTTGTGTCGGAGAACGTCCCTGGGGCACAGGGAGCGCATGCCACATTTGATGTTGCAGTTCCTTCAAGAAAAATCAGAAACTGTCACCAGCTCAGATATTCCATGGACAGGTGCGCCTTGGCCCTAGGGGAACTGGAGCCCTCGGGGAAGAATGAGGGGCCTGAGGAATTCGGTCTGCACCTCTCCCCTTTAACACAAACACACACACACCTGGGCGGTTTGTCCTTAACTAATTCTAGTGACTGTGTCTTCCTGGGGCACCACCTGATTTTCCAGTAACCTGGGGCTTAATTTGATCCATCTCTGGATCCCCAGGGCCTAGTACACGGGAGGTGCCTGATCAGGAGTGCTGGAGGAAAGAATGAATCAGGATGGTTGGACAGGTGGGTACCAGGCACCTGGCCGCCACTGACGACGCTCCAAGGAAGGAGAGGCCCAAGGGGGTCCCCAAGGACCTCTGGCCCTGGCCTCATACCCGGTTTGGCCACGCCGAAGCCAGGGCCACATTTGCGCAGTGGCACGCACAGCCGGCACCCCTCCTGCCTTCCCAGGGTGCAGTACCAGCCCGGCTTGCAGGTGCAGATGCGGTTCTGTTTTGTTGTGCAGGCTTGAGTTTCCAACTGGTCTAGAGGAGCGAGAGAAGACAGCCGAGGGTCACTCCTGCCTCCACCAGCCCCACCCACTGCCATGCCCACTCTGTCTTCCCACCCAGCCCCACCACCCCCAGAC